ATTAACTCACTTAATACCAGCTCTAATGCTCACAAAATGTAATAGTTTTTTTTTAAATCAACTAATTTAGGCAAAAATAATGGGGGTTTTTTGGTACAGTATACGATCATACCAGTGGCGGAACTAATGTAGAGAGAGCCCTGGTGCAAGAAAGTTTTTTGGACCCCCTTCTAGTGCAAGAGTGACCAAAAGATAGCTCCTCATCTGTAGTACAACTCCAAGGATGCTATGCCAGCTGGGGATCTAGCATTTTTGCCCATCCTTGCAGGGTTGCATTTGTGTGCAGTATTTGTGTGTTTGAATGTAAGTATGTTTTTGTATAGTGTATATGTGTGCATGTAGGGGTGTATTTATATGTGCTGTTTCAACTGGAATACAGTGGTGTACTTGTGTAGTGTTTGAATGAGCGTACGTGTGTAGTGTTGGAGTGTATGTAATGTTGGCTTTTAAATGCAGGTGTGCTTTTGTGTGTAGTGTTGGTGTTTGAATGAAGGCGTGTTTGAATATAATTTTAGTTTTAATACAGGGGTGTGTTTGACTTTTAAATGTGGATGTACATTTGTGTATAATATTGGTGTTTTAATGCAGGGGCGTGTTTGCATGTATGTAATATTTGTGTTAGATTGCAGGAGTGTGTGTTAATGTGTGTTGCTGTTTGATTGCAGGGATGTATGCACAAACACATACACTGCATACTTACACAGATATACATACACATTAACACACAGATACATACATAACAATGCACTGACACATGAATGCATATAGATACACACACTGACACATGCACACACCATGACACACAGATACACACACACATACAGTGACACCCCCACACATTGGCATATACATAGAAGTAATCATTTTTATATTTGTAGCCATACCTTTTGTGTGCAGAAGAGTGTCTTGCTTGGGGTCTTGCTGCTACTGGCTGAGGCTGATGGGAGCGAGCAAGGGTGGGGTTTGCAGCAGCCGTCACCATTTCTGCCCTCCCATGCGGTGCTATTTGTATGAAGTTGGGAGGAGCGCTCACTTCCTCCCAGGCTGCTGACACTGCAGGGGCCCAGTCATACTCTTAAAGGGCCGCAATGCCTGACCGGGCCCCTGTTCAGCAATACTTATTGGGTTGCCTTAAGTGCATGGACTCCCTAAGATGAACTGTTAAGGGAATGCCTGAGACTTCCAGAGATCGAAGATGCAGAAAAAGAGGAGGTTCCTTGGCAAGAGAAACCTTTCCATGGGGTGTACCACCGGCACATAGTGGATGTGTCTCACATGACAAAATCCTACCAGTGGTTGGAAAAGGCAGGACTGAAAGACAACACTGAGGCACTAATCCTAGCAGCACAGGAGCAGGCATTTAGCACCAAATCAATAGAAGCTGAAGTCTACCACACCAGGCAAGACCCAGTGGCGTCTCTAGGATTAATTTTTCGGGGGGGCACATGGAGGGCCAGTGACAAAAGTAGGGGGGCACATTTAACCCCGCCCTCGTCGCAGTTTAACCCCGCCCCTGTCGCATGTTAAGCCACGCCCCCGACACAATGTGTTTTGTTTTTTAATAATCCCTGGTGGAGGATTCATTATTTTCCACCAGGGATTATTAAAAAAACAAACACATTATCCTTGATACAGTGCCATAGTTGCCAACATTTGAAAAAAAAATTCCAAGGACATTTTGCAATACAGCTATCAATTACTGTCTGGGTATAATATCCCTGGACAGTCAGTGCTCTCTGTATAATACAGGGTTGTGTGTATAATAAATTGGGACACTCAGTGCTCCCTGTATAGTGCTGCTCTCTGTATAATACAGGTCTGTTTGTGTATCATATCCCAAGACAGAGAGCAGCACTATACAGGAAGCACTGACTATCCCGGGATATTTTATACACACAGATCTGTATTATACAGATAGCTGAGCATATACCCCATGTCCAAATCTCTAGACTACTAGTACATGTAAACAGCAGCTCCCAGACGCGTGTAACAGGGCTAAAGTGTGCGGCAACTCACACAGATTATTCAGCGGTAAAGTGCACTCGCTGGCAGAGCCAAACTGGGAATCCCTGGGAATCCAAAGCAGCCCTGGAAAAAAAACGTATGCCATTCCTACAAGTCAAAATATATATATATATATATATATATATATATATATATATATATATATATATACAAAATAAAAATCAAAATGCACTCACAGGTCTTCTGGTTAATAGGAAAACTGGTGCTTTAATAAATCATCTGTGATGTACAAAAAAATCAATCGACGTTTCGACCCTGCCGGGTCTTTTTCAAGATGTGTGTATATATATATATATATATATAGTACAGTAAGCACACAAGCTCACTGACATGCGCAAATAGGCTTACTGACAGACAAAACTCTCTGACTCACACACAAGCTTACTACAGACACTCACTTGTATAAACAGAAGGCTCACTACAAAGAAGTTCAGGGACACACACACAAGCTCACTAAAGACAAGCTCACTGACACACATACATGCTCACTAAATAGGAGCTCACTGACACATACAAGCAGTACCATTTTAACAGAGTAAAGGGCCCCTGGGCAAAGCAATGCACTGGGGCCCTTCCTACACAACAACTGAATTTTAATTATTGCTAGACTGCGGAGTCCATACACACACACAGACTGCGGAGTCCATACACACACACAGACTGCTGAGTCCATACACACACAGACTGCTGAGTCCATACACACACACACACACACACACACACAGATTGCTGAGTCCATACACACACACACAGACTGCTGAGTCCACACACACACACAGACTCTGCTGAGTCCACATACACACACACACACACACACACAGACTGCTGAGTCCATACACACACACAGACAGCTGAGTCCATACACACACACACAGACTGCTGAGTCCACACAAACACACACAGACTGCTGAGTCCACACGCACACACACAGACTGCTGAGTCCATACACACACACATACTCTGCTGAGTCCGTACACACACAGACTGCTGAGTCCATACACACAC